AAAAAATCGCGGTCTTTAAAGGTCGCTTATAATGCTCAAGTCTCAGGGTTAAAATGTCATAAGCTTTGAAACAAAGTTTTCGGATAAAAATGATAATTTTTTTCCTAAACAACCCAAAACTTAAAAAAAAACGTTTTTTTTTTTTTTTTTCAAATAAAGCGGCTGTTGTAATATTTGATATCTTTAGTATGGACAGATAGTGAAAAATTACATCTAAGAAAAACCTGCAAGAAATTTCTTGCAGAAGTGAAAGAAGAATAAGATAAATTACACGATTACACGACATATAACATGATAATCGAAACACAGATAAACACAAGAAATTTATGTGTAGGAAATCAAAATTTTTATATTTTAAAAAATAGAAAGACTTTACTTAAATAAATATAAAAAAAAGAAAGAAAAAAAAACGATGAATGCAAAATAAGAAGGGAATAGGATAAATGTACGATAAAATAATTTAGTGCAGTAGGTTCGTCGCGAATTCTATCGCGAAAAGACTGCGAATATTAGCAGTTCGCATACGCGCCACAGTAAAATTTCAAATAAGGAAGAACCCTGTTTGACTTGAGATTTATTTCCAGCTTGAGACGCATGGCCAAAACAATCTGGCCATGAAAAAAAAGACAGGGTGATAAGTTAAGATGTAGTTTTAACTGCATTAAATTTCTTAAAGAGTTGCATAACCGGATTCAATAGGAGAGTCTTCCATTATACTGTCAGACAGTTTCAATTAATGTTGATACATTTGCAAGACATTCCACACACAAAAACCCACCCACCCACCCACCCACCCATATATATATATATATATATATATATATATATATATATATATATATATATATATATATATATATATATATATATATATATATATATATATATATATATACTTGTTCTTTATTCCTTTCGACAATGCATAGATGGATCTAGACGGGGTGGGAGTTGGGTCCGGATCCCTCTTTGAATTTTTAGTGATTTTTAAAATTCTATATACATACGTAAAAGAAACAAAAATGACCTTGGACCCCCCTCCCCCCCCCCAAAAAAAAAAAACGCGGACCCTTTAAAAACGGTCAGGAGAGTCATCTGTCAGAATAAAAATGACGATTGATTCAGGATGAAAAGGGTGAAGATATGCATGCCAGCTATGTTAAGGCTGCATAAGGGGGCGGGGCCTATTTATACGGGAAAAGTTATACTGTGACATCACAAAAAAATAGCAATTCCTCACAATACCAGAAAATGAAATAATTTGCGATTTTAAACTGTATAAGTGTAAAGACCACATAAAAACTTACCACTGCAATCATTTTTGTCGCTAGTTACATGTAAATCCTACATAGCAAGGTATAAGCATAGAAGTATAACTCACCGATCGCAATGCTGTTGTCGACATGATGTCATCATGGTAAAATTTGACGCATACAATGTGCAGTGAGAGGCGGATCAAGTAATTTTTTCACGGTGAAAAATGCATTTTATTATTAAACAGAATATTTTTTAGATGTTAGATAGACCATTGATTTAAATGAGTATCCTTTGTTTAGTTCCATTATGCAATAATTATCGGGGGGGGGGGGGTATTGAATATTAATTTTTCCGTGTTTTTCGGTACAGAGTTGGCATGTTTAATACCAAGGTGGCTCATTAAATCGCCTTTTTGCAAGGGCATACACTTAATAGATCTTGACCATTTTTAAATACGCATAAAGGAAATATTCCTTAATTTGAAAATTGCTGCTGCTTTCCCGAAATCGAGAGCGTTATTTAATAAATACATGAAGTACTTGGTAAAGGTCACACATATTTCAACTTGAGCCCAATGTACTTGAAGTTTAAAGTAATAAAATACGAATTCTATTTAAAGCAGCAGCACTTTCCAGAAACTACAAGATACGAGGGGTGATCAAAAAGTTCGCGAACTACCTCTATATTTACAAAACCACATTTCAGATCAAAATGAAATTTGGCACACATAGTCATAAACATTTTCTATAAATAGCAGATGATACGTTATGTTTGCTCCATGTTTGTGACGTCACATTGTGAAAATGACGTCAACATGTAGATAGCTTGTGACAAAGAATGGTTTACTCAGTCATACTCGAGCAACGAACGGCTTAAAGTTTAACGTAGGTCTTAGTATACCTTTGCAGTAGCATATAATAATTTGTACAAGGTTTATGAAGACAAAAGACTTGCCAGAAGTTTAATCATTTATTGGATTGATTGTTTTAGTGAAGGAAGGAAGGTGGTTAAAAATGATGTTTTTTCTGGTGCCCAGTGAAAGAAAGGTGGGGAAGAGATGTGTCCATTGTTGAGCAATTTATTGTGAAAGATCGCCCAGTTACAGTTAGAAAAATAGTTGAATATCTTAACAATAATATAATTATTAAATCCTCAAATATCGTTTACTTTAGACATAAAACATATCAGATGTGATAAAAAGAATGCGCCCATAATTTATCCACAATGGATAAACGATACACCCAAGACAAGGGAGTCGGGTTGTGATGGTCACCATGCTTGTTCTGGGAAAAGATATCCTTATCCACCCATCCTATTGCCGAGATTTGGCCATTTGTGACAAATGGACTATTCTTGTTATAAAAAATAACTTGCATGGTAAGAAATATAAGACTCGAAAAAATCTTTTAACTTCTACCGCTACGGAGCATGTCATGTGAACGACTGGATCACGTGATTCGCGCATTGGCAGAATGGTGGCAGATGTGCATTAAAATCGGAGAAGACTAATTATATCAATTCAATTAGTTCGCGAACTTTTTGATCACCCCTCGTATGTACATGTAGAAACAATTTATCATGCACTTATTTTTTTTAATTTAAAATAGGGTATGCCCTTGCGATATTGAAATTTGTTTATGACCTCCATGCAGTACACATAATATGCATTTATCAAGTGGCTGTCAAATAAGGTGACCAGACTAGATTCAATACAGAGTGGGGTATACTATGTTATTTCAATTTATATCAAAGTCCTGCGATAATATAATAGATTTACAAAAATGAATTCAGTTTAAAAGATATCTATTTATGCACGTCTATATTCCGTTGATTTTTTAACAGTGCTGCATAACAAATAGTGATTAATCTTTTTTTTTTTTAAAAAATCTACAAACAATACAAATCTGTGGACAGGGCATGAAAGGCGGACCCCTGGAAAATTCAGAGGTGGGATCAGGTGCCATTGAGGAGTAGCCAACCCCTGTCGATCGGTCAAGACTGTCGTGGGCTTTATGTATTATAATTGATCAAGTAGATGGATTATGCTGTATTCAAATTTTGTATAAAAGCAAAGATCTAACGATAGGTATGAAACACGTCAGCCAAAATACAACAGAATGATAGGTTATATTTGCTATCAAAGTCATTGTAACGATCATTAAATTTACGAAATGCTGACGAAGTTGTTGTAGTCCCTGTGACATCAACTTATATGTAAGTAGTCTGCCTCGGTTTAAATTTTGACAGTAGTCAGTCTGAGAGCATGCTCTCGAGTATCGAATAAGGTAACACCATATGTAGAAGACGTAAGCACCACATACAGGTGCATGATAGCGAAATATTACTACATTAATACGGAAAGTTGTCATTTGGCCCTTATCGTCTCTAGTCAGTATAACATCCAAACAGGTGTGAGGGACTTTTATTTCAAGTTCACTGGGATTTATCGAGTCGACGTATATTAATGGAAGTAACTATTGAAAATCGATAAAACACATGTTGACGTAATATCTGAATGTCGAGTTGAACGCCACAGCAAGTATTTTCTTCTCATGAAGAAGTTTTTGAATAAATTCTGCTATATAGGAATATAAAAACAGGTCGTCTAATAAAGAAGCACAATTAGTGCCCATCCCAATTCAAACTGTTAGTTGGAAAATCTGGTCTCCGAAGACTACATAAATGTTGTCATTGAGCTCCAGCATTCTTTTAATGTGAACTTTGGAGCACTTGTGCGTAAATCAGAGCGATTTTAACAAAGTAATCCTGTTGAAGACCAATCATGCACAAGATAAGAAAATTTCAGAGTTCCAATATTTATTGAAGAATTAAGCAGTTGTCTATGATTTCAAAAGCCTGTCGGTAGAGTATCACGATGAATGGTTATATAAGTTGTTGAAATTGTTGAAATCGTTTTCGTCTCCTACCCCCTCCTTAATCCACCTACCCCCCCCCCCCCTCTCCCCCACAAAATTGGATTTTCAAGTTTGTGCAGGTTGTTTTTTTTTTTTTTTGTGCTTGCCAAAAACTTCCTAGTCTGACATTCGTTAGAGTTGATGTTGAACCCCCTCCAGAACCCCGTAACCCCTTAATATCTCATTGCAATCCGTCTATTGATATGTAGCTTCATTTTATCTTTCCTTTATATATATAGTAGTAAAATATTAAAGCATTTATCATTTTCTATTAATCTGTTTGCACTAGACATGTGTCTTTGGCTTAAGATCAGCAATTTTGACCTATTCAGGTGATACAACAGAGAATTCATGGTTCTGTTTGTAGAAAACACTTTGTTTCAAGGGACTTTTACGGTTTTATAAAAAAAAAAAAAAAAAAAAAAGGTACTGCAGGCCATAGACCATTGATTTTCTTCATTGTTAAAGTTATTCCAGACTTAAAAATAAATGACCTTATCTATTTGAATGGTTTCACATTTTAATCAATGTTAAGAGAGAGAGAGAGAGAGAGAGAGAGAGAGAGAGAGAGAGAGAGAGAGTTTAGTGCTAAGTAGGTCAAGACAGCCGATTTAACCAGCTACAAATTAAACTTTTCTTACTGTATAAATACATCATTATTATTAATGTTCCTACAGGACGTTAAATCAAGATGATATATGCACGTTTTCAATACATGCAGATATTTAGCATTTTAATACAACACGCCCACTTGTCTCCAGGTATTTAATTTCATTTATGTAACAATTAATGTATATATAAATGTACAAGGGAATCATGGGAGTCATTTACATTTCACTGTTATTGAGAGCTATTTTCTCTATTTAAAAAAGATAAGTCAGCATTTTTTTTTCAATGAAGGAAAAAAATTGTAAGCCATTAAAGGTTGTATATTATGCAAGGAAAGACAAAAACGGATTACTTAAAGGTATGATTCCTAAGAATACATAAAATTATCTTTGAAAAAAATCATTTTGAAATGAGCCTGAGAATAATCATTTATCTTTATATCTTCTACAGATATTTAATTTTTATTATAAGTGGCAAAAAATAAGAAAGAAAAAAATCTAACTCAAATTCATGAGCGACTGTGGTGGCATAATTTTTTTTTTCTCTTTTGCTTTTTCTATCCTAGATCGCCTTCGACGGCACAACTTCAATCAAATAAACGGAAAGGCTCCAAGGTGTGCTTCGAGCTCTGGAAATATGTATGTAAAATGTGTACATATACTTGTATTCTATCATTATATACAATCACATAGTTAGAATTTTACATTTTAATAGTTTTTTTTAATTGTCAAAGTTTGCATTAGTTCCAAATAGAATTTCAAACTTGTTGAAGAAGAGGGAGATGTAAAATATCAATTTTAAAGACTAAAGATGCAATTAGTTGACTATTTTGTTTGGGGATTTTTTTAAATTTTGAATTAGAGATGCGCAATAATATCTCTCTTAGATGTAATATATATTTTTTTTTTAGGAAATCGCTTATTTTGAATTTTAAAAGACAGTTTTGACGGTACATAATTTTTATGCATATGATTCCTTGCAAGCACAATTAATCGATAAATTTAGTGAAAGTCTTACCATACCTAGTTCAAATAAACACAAATTGAATTATTTTCTTAGGTGGATTTTTAAATGCACAATTCTTGATGATTTTTATCTAATCATCTGTATATGTTGATAAATGCTTTTGTTTTGTTTTTTGTTTTTCAGGGAAGTGAAAAGCAAAACTTACATAATACTGGAATTATTGATACAGTATATCAAGGAGCTTAAAAACAGAAATGTAATGATTTTAACATTGGAGGAATACAACACCAGGATGGGTGTTATGTGCAAAATTTTGAATCAACGAATACAGGCACGTATTTAAATCTCTCTCTCTCTCTCTCTCTCTCTCTCTCTCTCTCTCTCTCTCTGGTAGAAAAGGAGATGGCAAATTGGAATCACGAATGTTATTTTTGTTTGATGATATAATGCTTTGATTGTCTATGATTGCAAAATGTAAGATTAATTTGCTAATGAAAACCCGACCAATGATCTCTCACAAGACTCCTTATTTTTTTCCTAACAAATCAGTTATCTAACCTAGACAAATTGTGATGTTTGATTCATTGCACGTCATAAGGTTGATACATGTATGCAGAATCATGCAAATTCTATAAGGGAACGGTTAATTTCAAATGAAGGAATACTTTTAAAAATAAATACACCGACAATTATTTAATGACAAAGGACGGTCATTCATCTTGTCCGACTTTTCCTATTCCAATCAGTCGATGAATTTGTTGATTCTCTTCCAAATAAAAAAGTGATTTATTTTTTTTTAATCAAATGAGATTATCCTTGTCGCAAAATCAATCAAATGTTTGTTTATTTGTTTGTTTGTTTTATCGCTATTTATTTCCTTATTTGTTTGTTTTGGTATTTTTTTTATTTTTAAGAAAGTGAACATGCACTGTTACAACGCACTTTGAAAAAAAATCACACACTTTAAAATTGAAAAATTTATTTTAAGTGCTTTAAAATTGGGACAAAGTTAATGCACTTTGAAAAAAAATATTTCTTTTGAAAGTGCGTTAATATCGACCATAATAAGGCACTTCGAAGAAAATAAAAGTGCACGGCTTGATCAATATCTTTCACTAAATAAGCTAAATTCAGTAAGTCAAATATGTGCAATGTTTACAGAGAGGTTATCAGATATGGTGACAGATGGACATCTGACGACAGTTTAGCAAAAAGGTCATTGGTTATTTGATTTTATGACAATGAACAATAATGAACTTTCAGTTTTAAAATTCAATGTATCGAGGACTTGTACTTTAATTTTATTGTATTTAAAATTTTCTAGTTTTTTTTTTCTTTCAAACATGACCCTTAGGGATGCAAGAAATGCGACAAAATAGGTCCAAGTTTGTATGCTTATTGAAAATAATTTTCCCACACAGTATGATGGTCTTTTCATAGTTATGTGATAAGTATTTAGAAGTATGAACAAATTAATCATTCCCCCATAATAGCCTTTTTACAGTCATTTGATTAGTTTTAGAGATATGAAAAAGATATTTCTGAATTTAATACCTTTTTTTGATTTTTATTGTATTTGATTTTGTAAAGCTACTTTGGCCTAAGTATAGTGAGTTGGCTATTCCCAGCAGGCATTTCAACGTTGAATCAACGTTGAATTTTGGTTGCATATGAAAGTTGAGGCAACGTTGAGACATCAACGTTGTTTCAACGTCAATTTTCAACGTTGAATAGACGTTGAAAATGGGTTGAGCTTTGATCGATTTATAGTTGATTTTTGGTTGCAAATGAAAGTTGAGGCAACGTTGAAACTTCAACGTTGTTTCAACGTCAAATATCAACATTGAAAAAAGGTTGAACATTGGTTGAAATTAGGTTGACTTTTGGTTGAAATTTTTTGGTTGTACAAATGTTGATATTTGGTTGAAATCACGTTGAAGTCATACTGAGTTTTGCTTTATAAACAAATACATTTCACATTCTAATAAAAGTTTTTATTCAAGTTGCGAAATATGTAAGTTGTAATTCAGTATTAAGATTCTGAGTAAATTTATTTTAAACTGTATTTTAAAAACAAAGATAAATCCAGGATCCAATCACCGAATCTCAAAAATCACTGTTTAACAAAATTTATCTTCCTTGTGAAAAGGGGGTCACAGTAATCATATCCAGGTTCATCATATCACGCATCTGTCTAAAACTAAGTTCAAAAAAGTGGCGGATCCATTGATTTTAAATCACGCGCATAGTTACATGTAAGTCCCACAAAATGACTCGTCAGTCGGAAAGAAATGAACAGGAAGCTCCATCCTCTAATGCAAAACATATTACCAAAAGAAATAATGATATGAAAGTCATTTATTTGATAACTTGTTATTTCAAATGATAAAAATATACATGAATAATAATAATAATAATAATAATAATAATAATAATAATAAAAAAAAAAGACAAAAGTTCTTATACTTGGAATTAATGAAAAGAATTATATTTGTCACCGTGTTAAAATTCATAACTGTAACAGTATGATTATAAATAATTATTACTGAAGAAAAATGTTAAGAACATGGAGGTGTACATACACAATGTTGCATTCCTTTGTAATTTTCACGGGCGATGGCTCTCATCCAATCAGGGCATCAATTACGTCTCAAAGCCGCCGGTGGTTGATGGAACCTTACGGCCAACTGCAATTAAATTTTATACTATTTTTTAATTTCATGTGCAATATTTTATTATGTATAATCATAATAAGGTTGGACAACAGGTACTGCCTGTATAAGTCCTCTCCATAATACAAGGTCATACATTTACAAGTAAATATTAGTTTGCATATCATTGGAAAAATAAATATATACATGTGTATATTCAAAAGAAATTTATAAAAATAAGACAAAATAAATGGTAGAAAATTAATTATAAGTGAGCTGGTGATACAATATGTTTGCAGTTTAACATATATGACTAACAAAAATAATACAGGTATAAATGTGAAAGTTAATAAGAACACATTAATAGATGCTGGTTCTGTGGTTTGACAATAATCTCTTTGTAGATGTAATAAATTCATGAACAAGTTTAAATACTGCAATATTTTGGTTGTAAGTAAGGTTATTGCCTCCATTCAAAATAAGTTGTAATTGTAATTGGTAATTGCGGAGTATTAAAGTTTGCATGCAGATTACAAATATGCTTACAAAACAAGTATAAAATAATGTATGGGTACTAAAAAATCTAAAATTTCTTCTGAATCCATGAAAAGGAAATACTACTTACTGAGAAGAAGTTGATAATCCAGCCTTAATCCTTGTGCATGGCGTGTAAAATACATAATATGTGAACAGCAAGAAGACGCGCACTTCTTGTCCATCAGATGAATTCAAATTTTGACCTAGATAAGCTGCAAACAACTTCTCTGTTTCGCTGCCCAGCAAGAAAATTGCATAACAAGGTTATCATGACACTGAAACTGACCAGCTAGCTAAGTTAGAACCAGTCCTTATCTGATGCCTTGAAGATAAATTTGGGGAGTGGATCTAAGTAATGTATACTGACCGGGGTTAATTGTTCGTGTGAAAACTGTTAAACCTTTTTGTAACGTGTTCAATTCAATGTTTTTATATTTTGTGATAAGAAAGATTATAGTAATATATCTTATACAGTTAACTTTTTTTCCTTTCATATAAATGCAACAAAAGCACAATCTCCGTATACATTTCTTCGCAGAGTATACGGCACGGATCTAAAAAGTCTAATTTTGATTATCAAAGACCTTAATATATTTAAAACAAATGCCTTATTTATTTTATATGTTTTATTCGAGTTGGCAGGTATTGTCCACAGTGGTCTACACAACAGTGGGGCAGCCGGCAAACTGGCACATCCCCCAACATCAACAATTAAGTTGTGCCCTCCCTGACGGGAAAAGTAGCACGCTGGGTTGACCTCAATCGTGCTACGGACACATTTCAACACAAATTATCTTTAATTATATTAATTATAATTAATTATATCAATTATATTACATAATTTTGCTTTAGATTTACTCAATATGAGATATAATTTTCAAAGTCAACATCACATATATCAACATCAACCATCACATATATCAACATCAACCACAACAAGTCAAGAATATAAATAGTTCAATGGTTAAATTGAAGGTGACGATTTCGCCAATCTGACCACTGTGAAGTATGGTTTTTCCCCGAACTCCTCGGAAGGATACTGTATTTGGCCCAAAATCATTCAAAAGGTCCTAAACGGAAATAACAGGCAATCCTGATCAACATCGCTGGTCTCCTTCAACGGCACCGCTAATTTCTGAAAAGACAAAAACAAAAAACCCAAAGCAGAAAAGAATCTCAATAACATTTCCATAACTGTCAATAAATATAGGTATAGCCAAATCATGTTAAACTATGTAGATGTACGAAAGGAGAAAGGGTATACTTAAACACCTAGCTCAAGGGTTGTGGTGGGAGGGTATTTCAAAATACAAAAATTAAATCAGATACTTTCATCACCCACCTTTCACTTTCATTGATGCATAGAAAAGGGGAGATAACCCGGAAACATAGTGACTAAGTACCGACACTGTATGGGTGGATAACAAAATTCCGACTTTACTCAATATCAGTTTCTCGCAAAATAAGAGGCGAATGATGACATTAATAACAGAGTAGAGCTTTGATAACGACGCATATTGTGAGACGAGCTCAAATATGCGGTATTATCAAAGACCTTAATATATTTAAAACAAATGCCTTATTTATTTTATATGTTTTATTCGAGTTGGCAGGTATTGTCCACAGTGGTCTACACAACAGTGGGGCAGCCTGCAAACTGGCACATCCCCCAACATCAACAATTAAGTTGTGCCCTCCCTGACGGGAAAAGTAGCACGCTGGGTTGACCTCAATCGTGCTACGGACACATTTCAACACAAATTATCTTTAATTATATTAATTATAATTAATTATATCAATTATATTACATAATTTTGCTTTAGATTTACTCAATATAAGATATAATTTTCAAAGTCAACATCACATATATCAACATCAACCATCACATATATCAACATCAACCACAACAAGTCAAGAATATAAATAGTTCAATGGTTAAATTGAAGGTGACGATTTCGCCACATGGGCACCGCAGGTGCCCACCGCCACCTGGTGGGGGTAGGCAGCTTCAATTTAACCACCCACCGTGGACCCCTAGCCTACTCAAAACCCTCAGCACCCCACCCACTGTGAATACCACTTTCTAATTGTCTCCACTACTCAATATATCTTCAATACAAGATTAAATCAATTCTTTATCAGCCATCCCTGCTGTATTAAGATAAATGATCTAGTTTCCCTACAAATTAAGTATGCCTGAAAACACCCCACCCCCTCCCTGGAATCTAGTACAAGTTTTTGTTTATTCTGCTTTGGGTCTTTTTATTACCCTAATATTTTTAGTAACGACAGGTTATTATTACTGAGGCATGAATAAGAACTAAACTAGCCTGGTGTAAGAAAAATTTGTAAATAATTTCAATCTCTAATCCCCACTTACCCTATTCTTGTATTTTTATTTATTTGTTTATTCATTTATTTATTTATTTGATTTATTCATTTTTTATTTATTTTTCTTTAAAAGTAATTTGGAAAGTTCTAAACTACTTTCTAGCTGAGATTGCAAACAAGTAATAAACAGGCACAAATCCCCTTTTACCCCCCCCCCTTTTCCCATCTGCATATGGCTGCAGTTCCTGCATTCTTGACAATGTTGCAATGACAAAATGTTAAGTGTTATCACATTCCCACTTTGTAAATTCCAGAATAAATTAAGGGATACCTATCTCCCTGCTATCTTTATTATCTAATCTGGAAAACCATTTTTGCTCAACAGTAGCTGTGCTGGTTCTAAAGGAATGAGGTCATACCACTTATTTCTGAAACCAAGCTCTGCTAAAGCCTCTCCATTTAAAATTGATTAAAACATATACTAATTACCTTCCAACCCAAGAGTCTTGAGACACAATGGAGGACTATGGAATGTTTCCAAAGTATTTGTAAATGTACATGTACTGCACCAGACATGAAGTACCTATAGGACTAAATTCTATATTCCAGACCCTTGCCCAGCTGATGCTCTCTCAGAAACTGCAACTTGTCACCTTAAACTTCTTACTTCAGGAATACTGAAACTGTAACATTAATTCGGAATGGGTTACCCCCATCCCTCACCCCAAGGCAAAAATATGGTTAAGACTGGGGGGGGGGGGGGGATATGGACTTAAATTGTTTTAAAGTTGTAAATATGCATAATTATATGAAGGCCAGCATACAAATTAATTGTCCAAGTATGAGCTAAGGCAATGGCAACCTATCCTTTATTTAATACCCTAAAATGCTAGGGAAGTTTTGCTAAAATGAATCTTTAACTCCCTCAGATTTGCCGTTGTACCCACCAGCTGATACATGGATGTAAACTATATATGCATTGAAGATGCATCTGAATAACCTTTGACATTAATATATAAACATAATTATAAAAGTACATGTATGCTAACTGCTTAGTTGAGGGGTGTACACCAATGACATATATGTAATTGGCAATTGGGTTTGAACTGACATTTTTCATTGGAGAAATGCCCATTAGATATATGCATGATATGTGTCAGCAGTTTTTGTAGAATTGCTGTCTTTAACAAACCTGTTGCCTCATTTCTGAAAACTACATACAAAACATTGCAGGAAATGGATCAGATTCTATTCAATTCAGGTCTGTGGAACAATATATGTCTAACCCCCCTCCCCCTTCAACCCCAAGAATTTGCATCTGCTTGCATAGCAGATTAATAGTAAATCTTGCCTTATGCTCAGTTTTTTTTTATGTTATATATTTAATGATGAATAAAACCAGTTTCCCAAACATATCACCTTTTGTGAGTTTAAGAACCGTGAATTAAAATTTGAACTAAAGCAATTTTTACCTGAGTTAAATTTCAAATCTTTTTATTTTATTTTTCCCACTTAGAGACACAACAGAAACCATCAAGGACCAAAAATTATGCCCCAATTTTACATAATGTTTTATTATAGCCTTTTTCCCCCAAACTGCTTGATCATTGATCAATGTTCCTTCCCAACCAAAAAAAACAAAAGATTCACATCCACAGCCCTGTCCCAATATGCCAGCATTGACTGTAACAATTTAGGAACCCTATAATTTATTCATTTGTCAAAACTAAGTTACTCAAGTAAAATTGTAAAAGGTCAGGAAATTTAAGTTGCATAATCATATTTTAAGGTTAACCAACCCTCTGATAAGACAGATAACTCAATGGCTTAACTGTGCATATTTCTAATAAACTTGTCAAGTTAAAATGTCTCCTGTGACAATTTTATCCTGAAGCTCTGCTAAAATTATATGCATTTCATTTTACCTATTTATTTATTTATTTTTTTATTTATTTACTTAGACTATTTGTATAATTGTATTTATATTTGAACCTAAAAGGCCCTTGTGTGCCTAAAAATATCAAACAAGACCAGAAGCTTTTATTACATTGAGAGAAAACTCCCATGATGAAATTAGTTCCTACATGTAAAATCAAACACTTTCCCAAGCCTAAATGAGAAATATTTTATATAATGTGAAAATAATGTAAGTTTATTTGAGTTTTTGAGGTTAACTTGAGAAGGTACAAAACTTTTACTTAACACAACTCTATAAATTTATGTATCATACCCAAGGGGCCTTAGGGGGCAGGAGAGAGAGGACAATAAACATGTTATCATTAAACCTTCACTCAATTAAAGTACAGGCTCTGTTAGAGAAGTTCATGATTATGCAAGGTGGACACAGTTTTGAAAATGACCCAATAGCCCAAACCTCCTTGATTTCCTTTATAATCTTAAAACTGAACCAATGAGCAGACACAGAATATATATCTGAAACATGTCTTTGACCCCATCTTAATTAATCTGAACCCATTTGATATCCGACAAGCAAAACAGTAGCTAGCCTTGATAGAATTTTAGCTAATTATTAAAAATATGGGGAATCCTATCTACCCTAACTGGTAAACAATTGTGTTTTTAAATTGCGATGCCCTTCTATTATCGGTCTGGTGGAGGCCGAAATTGTCCTCCTTGCCAAGCCCTATAAGAGAAGTGATATCCTGATAGGTGAGGATGCTGCTGGCTCAAATTTGACTGTATTTTGGATTTGGACAATGTACAATTCGACTTAGGGTGCTCATGCCTCCATTTTAAATAGCCTGAATTGCTCATTGTAATGCTTCCATCCAACTGATATTTATGTCTCAAATATATTAAGTCATCATTCATTCATTCATTTTAACCTTCCTAGAGCTTT